GATATAATTAACCTCACAGGACAGTTAAGATACAGTATTGTCCTTGTATTAAGAGGACAACCACATACACTAAATATAAACTAGTCAACAGCAAAGCTCATATAATTATTAGAGTGAGCGCTCAGACTCCATAGTTTGTAAGTGAGCTTCTCACATAACTGGATTTTGAAAATTCACTTCTGGTACATCTTCATTTTTATTAGAAGCATGCAGCCGCAGTGTCTCAAATACAGTCCTCACCTGCCTGTTCATTTATCTATGTGGTCTTTGGAATGTTTTGAATTCCCCACCTTTAATAAGAATTTAAAGCTTAGTATGTAGAGATGGCTTCAGTTAGCCTTTGCCAAGAGAAGAAAACCAGCGACATGACACCTACATTCAGGTGCTCTGTAGTGACATCCATTAGCTTGCTGCAGGAAGGATGAAGCCTCTCATAGATGATGGTGTCAGCCCCCTTGCAGTACAGAGACAGCTTGCCTTCAGGACAGCGCACTTAGGGTTAAAGACAACAAAAATAGCAGAAACAACCAAGAACAAGAAGAGGTTAATCCCACACTGAAATGGACACTGCACTTACGAACATCTGAAAGAATTTGCTTGAACTTCACTTCGCTGTATATCAAGCCTGGACTATAGCTACAGTGCCAAAAAAGGAGCGGGCAGAAATGAGACGAGCTTGACCTAACTTCTGGCAGCCCCCTGGACTTACCAATCACAGACATTCTCTTGCGTACATTGTTGAAGTCTAGAATGGCCAGCAGCTCATAGGTCTTTTGGACTCCCATCTCCACCACTGTGACAGTCTCAGGTGTCCTGGAGCGAAAGACAAAGCCAAAGTTCCTTGCTGCTGTGACAAGGGCGCCCTCATCTGGAGACTGGGCTTGGTACAGTAGGTGACCTGCAGACAGAGGAAATACAGAAGCTGCATATTGGTCCCTTTTCATTTATACCGTATACAGTACGTATTGTTTCCTACTTACACTAGGGTAAGGATGACAGATGTAATCTATATTTTAATGAAGGAAAGAAGAAATGATTGGATTGTCAAGACTGATTCGGCGCAGCCTCTTTGCGATGTAAAATATTGCGATGTTGACAACTGAGTTTGAGAAAGTTTCACCAGGATCTCACAGGGTATCTATTTCAGTGCTTGTTATTCCAATTCAGCAATGGGCCATGCTAGAACTGATTTACCTTTACATGCAGGCAGGCCATGTCAAGACATATTTGTGCAGTTTTTGCAGCCATGTCAAATGTTCTAAGACAGTTGTTTAATTTTACAAATCAAGTTCCTCTCACAATCTTGCGTGAGATAAAGGCTTGATCAAAAATACACATTGGGTTTAAATACACTTTGTATCCCTAACTACCCCTTTCTCACACTGTAGATATCATCTACAGAACAGAGCAAGAGGGATCTG